GGCAACCATTTCAGGGCAGGAAGCTGCCATTTTGGTTCAGAGTGTGTCAGCTGCTTTGGGAAGACACGTATCCCAGTGGTCCCAGTGGCCCTCAGATGGAACTGGGGTGCCACTGAAGTGGCTGACAGATTGGTGGAGTCAGCAGCGTTCCAGAGAGTCGGGGAGATTGAGTGAATACCGTTTCTATTCTAGAAGTTTGCAAATGTGAGTGTGTGTGTTTTGAAGGGTCTTCTATGGACTGGTTATTTATTCTCAGCCCTTCTCAGGCAGGTGATGATATAATGCTCACTATAACAGCCTTTTCTGTGCTGTGATACAAACTCAGTTTGTTTGTTTAACATTCATCTACTTGTAAATAATTACATTTAATTTTTCTGGCTATTTTAATTATTAAAAAAAAAAAGAAAAACATCTCATCTTGTCTGAAAAAATCTCAAATTCATAATAGAAAATCATTTAATAATATTACAATAACATATCATTTCATGCAATGACATATTTAAGGGTGATATTGATATTCTTTGAATGAGTACAATGTACAAAACCTCTCTAGTCTAGAGCTGCCTGGAAAAGATGACCCTAATCTGCTGACCTGCTGGGGATCATACATCGATCAGGTATAACATTTTGACCACTGACAGGTGGTTATGGGGCCTGTTACTGTGTGGGATACATTAGGGAGCAAGTGAACATTTTGTCCTCAACGTTGTTTTAGAAGCAGGAAAAATAAGGATTTGAGTTGGACCAGAGCCAAATGGGGCCAAACTGTGATGGCTAGACCAATGGATCAATAGAAGCTATGGAAGAAGGTAGCCTGGTCTGGGGTATCACATAGATGATGGGGTAAGTGCGCGTCACTCATCTGGGAAACACCAGGATGCACTAGGGGAAGAAGGCAAGCCGGTGAAGGCAGTGTGATGCTTTGGGCAATGTTCTTCTAGGAAACTTTGACACGTACCACCTATCTAAGCATTGTTGTACACCATGTACACCCTTAATGGAGAGGATAATGCACCCTGCCACAAAGCAAAATAGGTTCAGGAATGGTTTGAGGAGAACAACAACAAGTTTGAGGCATTGACTTGACTTCCAAATTCCCCAGATCTCAACTGATCAAGCATTTGTGGGATGTGCTGGACAAACAAACCCAACATCTCGCATCTTACAGGACTTAAAAGGATCTGCAAGATAAAATAGCACATCTTCTACCTTCATGTAGTCCACGCTTCGACAGGTTAGGGCTGTTTAGGCAACAGCACAATATTAGGCACGTGATCATATTGTTATGCCTTTTCGGTGTACAAAATAATGTTTAAAATGACTGAAAGTTCTACAGGAGATTCAGGGTGGCTGAATTATTTCAAAGTGGAGGGGCAATAAATAGATGATATAATTTCCCTGCTCATAGTTGGTAACAAATGAATGAATGAATAATGTAATGACATGTGAAAAGTTTCAAATATACAGACATAACATGTCCTCTTAAGTAGCAAGTTACCATTTAAAACTAATGTTTTGTGTTGAGTAATGATAAGGAAACACAACAGCTGGACAATAACGCAAAGATTTAGCATGGCTGCTATCCTCGCTAATAAAAAAGAGATACTTAACAATGAACTTAAGGAGAAAAAAACGCCAAAGCAACCTTTTATATCTGCCTGATTTCGTTCATCTAAAGTCTTAGTCGTATGTGACCGAAGTTATTATGACTGTGTACCATCAATGTTTGAAATGATCACATCAAAGACGGGGACCAGATCTGAGACTACTCAGTCAGTTGCCATCTTCAAAGCAACTTTGGTGTGTCAAGAAGGCGATAAAACAGGGACAAAACGGCAATAAGAGGCAGTCGGCGTGCTGTTGATTTTTCCTTTGAATTGGGTCAAGTTGGCACTTACATGCAATGTGTTTGCAATAAAACAGAGATTAACTGTGATAAATCACAAATCTGTGGATGTTTGTTGCCGTCCATATCAGAAGTTTTATTATAGAAAAGAGTCCCTGTATGAAGTAGCGTGAATGGGTGATTGAGCCATGTTGTGTAAAGCGCTGTGAGTACTTACAGTAGACAAGCGCTATATAAGATCCACGTGTTAATGAGGATATTGTTACTGTACCAAATGCGTGCATTGGTCTGGGTTTTCTTCTTTCAGGTTCTCCCTTTAGCGGTTGCCTCCGTCTCACACTATCCCTTTCCTCCTCTCTGGCAGCTTCCGTATTTAACATGCCCAATATATCCACTATCCCTCCTCTGCACATGTCCAAACAATCTCAGCCTTGCTTCTCTAACTTTCTCTCCAAACTGGTCAACCTCAGCTAAGCTCTGATGGACTCATTTTTAATCTTGTCTGGTCAGTCCCTAAAAAATCTCTGCTGTCTTCAGCTCCTCCTCTGGTCTTTTTCTCAGTTCCACCATCTCCAAACGATACATCCTTTCCTTTCACTCATGCTGCTGTCCTTCTGTGACAAGTTACCCTGACACTCATCTCCTCCCACTTCACGCTGCCTACATCCTCTTCTTCACCTCTCTTGTGCCCTTTCCTTTGCTCTGGATGGTTGATCCCAGGTATTCAAACTAATATACCTTCACTACCTGCAGCTTCACTGTCATACCTGTCTCCCTCTCATTCACACGCATGTATTGTGCCTTGTTTCTACAGACTTTCACTCCTCTTGTCTCCAGAGCATGCCTCCACCTCTCTTTCACCTGCTTCTTACTCTCATGTACAGATCATCCTTCTCTCTCACTGAGTCCAAACACAACTTCCATATCTCTGCTTTCTTTGTCTTTAGCCAACAATAGATCAGTTTCCACCAGCACCTTGTTGGCAAACAGCACCGGAGGAGGTTATTTTTAACTCGGGCCCCAACCGATCTGGTATGGAAATCTCATTCTTGATGTTTTTGTTTGATCTTATAAAGATTTTACACCATCATGATGCTACCTTTGACATATATTTGAGTTTGGGCTAGACGGGGAGCATTGATAAATGGGATAAAGGCAACAGAACCCTGGAAAAAAGCCATGGAGAGATGATTGAATTATGTCCTGACGTCTGTGTAGAAATGTCTGAAACACTGGAACCGGCTCTGCTCACTGTAAAAAGGAAAGCAAGATGTATCCTTGTATGTGCCTTGCATACAAGGATACTCCTCCTCCCCTCCCTCCATCGCTCCATTAAGTTCAGTTCAGTTCTGCTCTGCTTCAATAAAATCCCAGTATTACTGTGGAGCAGGAATATGTGGCTCGTCTCTAAACACTCAGAGTGGGGACTGAATAAAGAGCGACAGGACAGAGCCAAAGTTTTAGCACTGCGCTCACAGCTTTGAGCCATCCAGTCATGCCAATTACACACTCATTCTGATAACATCTCCCCCGTCTTTCCAAATAAATAAACACTCCTAGAGGCAATTATCACACACACATATCAGCCACAAAATAAGACATGCTTTTGGTGTAAAAAGCATAATTTACAGTTAATTGCCTGCCACAAACCTTAGTCACTCAGGTTTGTGTGTTTCATTATTTGAAGGAGCAGATGCCAATCTGTCTGCCTTTATAAATTTAATAGCAATTAGTTGCAGGCCTTTCTCCAATCTGTTCGAGACTGACTCTTGCCAGTTAAGGTTGAAATGAGACAGGCTGTCTCCCACCAGGTGAACTGTGCAGTCCTTGCAACTGCAAGCATCCAGAGGTTGAGGGTGCCGCACGCTCAAATTCCAGGTGAAAATGGGTCATTGAAACTACTTGCTATTGGTCCCAGGTAACAAGAAAATTCAATGTAAGCACTTCGCAACTTCTGATTATTCTGGGTCTCCTAAAAGTTTTCACTTTCACTTGCATTTGAGGCCCTACAGTGAACCGGGTGAACTCCAAAGAGCTGCCAAACAGATCACAGGTAAGATTGTTTGGTCGAATGCCGTTTCTAAGTTCAAAGATGAACTTTTAAACTCAAAACATACACATGTAATTTCCTCCTGTCTCTTACTATGCAGATGGTAATGCATGTGTGCCATCTGTGCATTTCTCTCCCTGTTTCTTTGTTGACTGTTACAGGCTTCATCCATTTGCCCCATGCTCTTTAGCTTTTTAAAAAATACTTCAAGGGTGTATCTTGGTGGCATGTGTGCTTGTGTGCGTGTGGGTGTGATGAGGTCGTGGTCAGTTGACAGCCAAAGGGCAGGGTCATCTTCAGTTGATAACCTGTCAGCGATGACTCTCTGATCTAACTGGCTCTCTCGTACTTTTCATGTTCTTCCTCCCCCACCTTTATGGTCCCAGCTGCCACTCCTCTCTAACCTCTGACCCAAGCCCAAGGCCAAGGTTGGGAGGTTGTTGCCACGGCAACAAAACAGGCCCGCAGCGCCTGGCTGCTGACCCCAGGAGCCCCAAGTAACCCTAACGATCATAATTTGCTCCCCTCTGCCCCCTGCCAGCTCATCCATGAATACCATTTGGAGGAGCGAAGAGGGTGATGCCGGGAACAACGGACGGATCGGCAGGCTGATGGGCAGAACAATAGAACGAACAAAAGAAGCACGCGTGCGCCACTGAAAGGAAGAGCTTTAGAAATCAGTTAAGATGGCCTTTTGACCCCCTTCCTCTCTTTCAGTTTAAGAAAGACGGTTTAGATGCATATCACCTAAAAAGATGGTTTTGCTTGACTAAACTGCATAAGAGGTTGCTACTCCAGACACTGATTTTTAATTGCCATTCAAATAATAAAGAAAGCTCCAAACTACCACTTAGACTGCTGCAACACTCAAAAAGGTTCCTATATACTGATAAAACCTATATATGATGACTCAGTCATATTTACAGTATATACATGCATTATGTTAGTCTTTTAACTGGAAAGGTGTGTGAGACTTTCTTCACATTTTTCAAGAGTCGCTCCGTGGCTACTGCTTTACTTGGCTTATAGTTTGGTTATATGCAATCCCATACTTGAGTAAATATAATAATAAAACCTCCTGATGTGTGTGAGGGGGTATCATACCTGCTGGAAGGCCACTTTACTCTTCAGCGCAATCTCCTGCTGAGTGGGGTTGGATGTGTAAATGGCTGAACGATACTGAGTACCTTGGTCATTGTGCTGCTTCATACCTGCATAAAACACACATACACACACACACACACACACAAAGGAAAAATAAGACACCCCACAAAAATGCATGAAGCACCACAATCAGAGCAGACACAATGTGATTTGCATGCAAAAGGCTTTCATAATTATGTCATCATCCTGCGTCTTGAATTCATGAGGCCGAATGAATTCAAAGTTCACAGCAGATTCAGGCTTTCATTAGGAAGGCCTGAGTCGTGTAGGTGTATGGGCAAATGAAGGTGGACACATTTTCCTCTTCTTTGTCATCTATGTGACAGTGTCAAACATTTTCATCAGCTTTACGTCAGAGTGTTTGGGAGGATATCCAGGTATACTGTAACTTGATTAGGGGGCCAAACAGCTGCCATCCTTTCTATGCTTTTCAAATGCTAAACTCCTGAGCAGCTCAGACATCCGTGGACACATCTCCCACTCTGCATTTGTTTCCTTTCTTTACTGAAGTGTGTCATTCTTGTCTTCTTCTATCTTTCTAAATCCTTGTCTTTTTCAGTCATTGGCGTTTTGTTATGGGCTTGAATCACTGATACATGTGTTCTTGTTTAGAGGCCTGTCAGATATGCCTTTCAGCCTGATTTTGATGGTGGATTAGTTCATGTGGACAACACGTTTACTCCTCCTTCCAGCCACTCTCATTTTACTGCACTTTTGGCTACTGGTCAGCGATTGGCAAGCAAAACAAATGGTTAATTCTTACATTTTAAAGCTTGTCATGTTTCTGTCACCATATTCAGAACCACTTTGCTGTGTCTTTGTCATGTAGAGGTAATATGCTTTTGTGTCACCTTCCCTTTCTCTTTTTCTTGTTTTAACACAGATTTTTCTGGGGCACCATATCCTACATGGCCAGAAAGCAGCAGCATGGGATCAAACTGGCGTGAACATCTGGCTCTTCAGACATCTGGCAAGAAGCAACTCTTGAAAAAAGTCACACAACATTTTGAAACAACAGTTTTGCTCATTTGTGTTGTATTTTGAAACTGTGCTGGGCCCTGTACTTTTTGTGTAAAATTTTGTGTAAAATTGCAAGGCAATCCGACTCAGTAAGTCAACCCAGGACTTCCAAATCTAGCTACGAGTGTGTTCACATGAAAGGCATTGCAAATGTGGGCAGGTCTACTGACAGAAGAGCAACTGATCTTACAAAGAAAGATAATACAATGATATTAGAAAAATATTTAGAGAATAAACACATATAAAACCGACTGCCACAGACAATGTGTGCTAGTATGAGAGTGTGTGTGTGAGAGGAAAAGTGCTGAACAGTAGTTTAGTATTAAAAGCCCTGTATGAATGTGTGAGCACTTTAAGCACTTTTGTCAGTAAGACTGGAAAACACCTCCCACATTAATAAAGTCTAGCCTATTTGAAGCTGGGAAGAAAAGCCGGAAAAAATACAGACTGTGTGAGGTACGAGAATTATTGATATCACAGTTTTATAATGGAAGACGTGGGAGAAAACTTGATTTCAATATTCTGTTAAATTCCTTTAACATTTTTAATGTAAGTAAGTAAGTTTTAGGATTTTTTTTTCACATTCAAAAATTTAGTGTAAGATCCACAAGTACAAATAGCTGTCCTGTTTTAAATTTGTATATTAATGCTTATAGAACAAAACAACTGTTGTAAAATAGTTTACAGCCAACAGGGAAAAAGCATAAAGGAATAAAAGTGCATTAAGAATCTATATTTATCACTAAGGCTCAGGAGGGAAAAGCAAAGACTTTGGACGCTCTTAAAAAATTCAGCTCCTCCTTCTATCTCTGGATCCATGAATGCAATGGTAAAGCTATTTTCCATAGATCTGCTTGATCTTTATGTGGTGATTTCATAGCTGCAGATCTCTAATGTTGAACATTACCTGTTCCAGAGGAGGTTAGGTCTGCAGCACAAGTTACCATGGTGATATACTCTCGCAAAAAGTAAACCACCTTCAAAATCTGATTTACCCCTAAAATCACAAGTTGTAAAAGCAACCAACAAAGGTGAAAATGGTCTTGCTTTTGAAGTTACGTTACAGACATCAACAATAACAAAATTCCCATATTGTACATTTGTGTTGTTTGTTCAAACCAAAACAATGAGCTGAAAGATGGTAAAGAGATGATAAGGGCTAGTTCGTCACTAAGAATGAAACTGCTCTCATTACAAGTGTTCCTCAAACCAATTGTTAACGTAAAAATAATGGTTACAGCCTTGTGAGTTTGAATAATGGTGGCTTCAGATTGTCTTTAGGTGTTTTTTTTTGGGGGGGGGGGATTGGTTTGCTGAGCTGGTCAGTGCAGCGCTTCTTTTTAAAAGTGCATCAGACTTTCAATTTCCCCTCTCCTAAAGATTTCCTATCTCCCCGATAGGTTTAACTTTTCAGCCTAATGATGGCCTTCTTCACTTGCATCAATAGCTCTTTGGACCTGGAGCTGACAGCTCCAGTAAACAGATAGAAAATGTAAATTCCACATTTTAAAGCAACTCCAGATCTGTTATCCGCTTAATTTATCATGGAAAAACAAAGGTACGGGTCTCACCTGGTCACAGAGCTTCTTGTAAGTCAACTGTCCAATTTCTTTTTCAGCCTATTATGTGGAACTATGTATGAAAATGGCAAAACGACAAAAAAACGTGTCATACTTCAAATATTTACGTCACTAAATGTAAGGTTTGTTGTACGTGTAAGGTAAAACAACACACTGTAAGCGATATCTGTTGTTACATCTCAGATGTGGGTGTTCAATGTATACTGTGGCAGAATAACAATTTCCACTCACTGTACGGACAAGATATCTCCCTGACACGGTGATCTGCATATCGTGTTCTCTTTAGATTAAATGCTACCTTACATCATAGAGTGTCACAACCTATCTGTGACACAGTCTGTTCAGGCATAATGGCTATAAGTATTCATCTGGTCTTCATTCAAATCAGAGCAGACAAGCAGGCATCGACTGCTCTCCGACACACGTTGAATAAACTCACTGTTACTAATGTTGCTGCCTTGAGGAATTTGCTTCACTGAATATTTCTGGAACAATATCAAATGCTCGTACACTTAAAACATGATCTAAAAACAAAGAGAAGGCATACATATCATAAATGCAATACAAATAAATACATTTGAAATCGGCAATCCTAAGTAAAAGTGACATACAGGTAAATTTTACAACAGTGCATACTTGGAGTAACTTGGATAGTGAGTGAAATAAAATGAACACATAACTGCTCTGACCTTCAGTAAAAACCAACTAATAGTAATTAAGTTTCAAAATGTCACCCTGTTGCTTGGAATCAGTGTGTGTATGTTCTCTATGATCCACCAGCTTGGAACTCAAATACAAATATTCTGCAATTTTGTAATATTTTCTAATTTTACCTTTTTATATCTTTAATTTAGCATTTACTGCATCTATACCCTCAAACTCCATCTTCCGTAAACCTGCATTGTGCACCCCCCACCCTCCAGCACTGCTGTTCAGTGTAAATGGTTGCCCCTCTATCAAAGGCTACCAACTCAATCTTCCATTGGCTTCTCACTCAGAGTCTTTCCTCTGATTGGTTAACTCGAAGGGGTTTTGCAGCATGCTGACCACACACAGAGCACCGCTTGCATATGCACGTGCATGGTGTCGTATGCAGCAACACATATATTAATTATGCCAGGGAACACCATCAAATATCTCGAAATTTACTCCGCTTTAATTTGATTAAAGCTTTTTTTTTTTCTTATACAGCTGAACATAATTAATTTTCCACCTTACAGAAACAGTGGAAGCTTAATATCTCACATAAAAAAGTAAAGATGAAAAAGGCTTCTCATCACAAAGAAGTGGTAGACGATATGGAATATCAGAGAAAAGCCAAGAGACAAACACCCTGGAGTGGTAATTGCAGCTTCCAACACAATTAAGTTCTGAGATCCATCCACCATCAGAAGGAGTCACTCCCTAATCAAAATATTAACACCATCCAAAATATGAGCCTAGCCTTTGATTATACTAACTCCAAATCCATCCCCATAAGCATTCAGCCCTCAAAGAACTATGATGGCAAAAAAAAAAAAAAAAAACAGGAGGGGGGGGGAAAACACCCCAAAAACTCTTGATTCTCCCCTCCCGCCTCCATCGTCTCTCTCAGTCTCTCCATTTTTAACAGCCCCCTTCGTTATTTTCTCCATCCATCAAAGGCAGCAGTAATTATTAATGAGAGCCTCCCTGTTCACTCTGCATTATGCATGAGAGCCTTGCCTCTGAAAGCAGAGGGTAATGGGGGTGGACAGAAGAGGAGGGGCTACAGGTGACACATGTACTCACACACAAACACACTCATCCACATATATATGTATATATAGATATATATCTATAGGGCAGCACGTTGGCACGGTGGTTAGCACTGTTGCCGCACAGCAAGAAGGTCCTGAGTTCAATTCCACCATCAGGCACCATCAGGCAGGGGTCTTTCTGTGTGGACTTTGCATGTTCTCCCTGTGTTTGTGTGGGTTCTCCCCAGGTACTCCTCCCACACTCCAAAAACCGGCAGTTAATCTAAATTGCCCACAGGTGTCAATGTGAGTGCGAATGGTTGTCTGTGTCTCTATGTGTTAGGGTGTACCCTGCCTCTTGCCCTATGAGAGCTGGGATAGAATCCAGCACCTCCCTCGACCCTGGAAAGGATAAACGGAAGTGAATGGATAGATATGAACACTGCCTCTCTGGGTTACTGATGTATACCTCCAACCCCCCTCCTTGACCAAATGAGAACCTTTAAAGTGTATCTTTTAACACAAATGGAAGCCACAATGAGAAAAAGAGGGAGGGTGGAAGTCTCACAGGGAGTAGCTACTCTCTTCAAGAGACGCTTGCACACAAACCAGCGTATGCAGAAGCAAACTCTTCTGGGTCTTGTTGCGTTTAAACCTGCTGAGATTTCTTGCAACTCTATACAATTTCTTCCAATGTTTGTCCTTGCACACACACACACACACAAAAAG